TGTTGTTTTCCCTGGTATGCCTGAAAATTACTGAAATTGTTTTGGACATTGATGCTATTTAACCAAATAGTCTTTGCAGCATCTCCACCTACTGTGGAACCACTTGTTCATGGTGGTAGGATTCACTGTTTCTGTGAGGCAAGAGGCTACGCTGATGGCATCATCGCTGCTGGTAGGGTCTCCCATGTCAGATAGGCTTTTGCTGAGGAGCAAGACTAAATGTGACAAATTGCACAACAGCAGTAATGGACGATGGCACTGGCAGAGGACCTCTCAGAGTCAAGAGCAGTGGCATCATAGCTATCATTTGTTAGTACTGTGCAAAAGGAGACAGAATAAAACCTTTTGATGACACAATCCAAAATGAAACAAGAAATAGTGCCATAAGAGGACACTACAAAGTCAGAAGGCATTCATCCAACTACTGGAATACAGCAGAGGACAACTAAAAGTAGCATTGTGACTAATAATGCAACTGGACTCAGGCCAAAGGGATATCCCATTTGTTGACATACTGAGGGATGAAAAATATGAAGCTGCACAATAGATAATACAAAGACATGGAATGAAAGAAACATGAACTAAAGGGAAGTTAGATATAGTAATATAAGAACTGGAATACATGAACATTCTAACACTTCAGGTGAGTGAGCTAAAGTGGACAGGAATGGGACATTTTGAGTCAGATAATTACACCATGTTTTATTCAGGAAATGGAAATGAAAATAAAGGAAATGGCATTAATGATGAGGAGAGAACTAGCATAGGCATGAAAGCATATAATGCAAGGTCTGACTGAATAATATCAATATGACTTCAAGGAAAACGCATCTATATAACCATAACTGAAATTTATGCTCCAACTACAGAGGAAGAAGAAATTGAAAGATTCTGTGCTGGAATTCAGGAGGAAATTGATCACACACCCAAGCAGAACTTGTTAATAATAAGCACTTGGAATGTAAAAGTAGAAAACAGAGCAACATAAAAGATTGTAGGAAAAAAATGGTTTACAATCAAGAAATGAAGCAGAGAAATGATTGAATTTTGTAAGGCCAAGAGTTTGCTCACCACAGACATATTATTCAAGCAACCAAAGAGACCACAGTATGCATGGGCCCTTCTACACTGACCTCAAAATGGGCCTGTTCTGGAATCCTGGGTACCATATTGGGCCTGCGCAGTGTTCTTATATAGACTTCCTCAGCTGTGTCAGAGGTGGCAGGGAGTCTGTACTGTCTAACCATGCCGAACACAGTTTGGTGCAACAGAGCAAAAACCCTAGGAGTCTTCCCCTCATGTTGCAACTATCCACACCTGTGACACAGCACTCTCTTCTTCTTGGTGCTCTTCTTGCAATCAGTCAGAGTGTCATCATACTAAGGGAGTAGGCACGCTTCCTTCTCTCATCTCTCATCAGTCCTCATGCACCGGTGCTCTGTCTGATGACAAGAAGAACACTGAGGAAAAGGTAGATGGCATGCTGTGACTGGGGAAGGCTGAAACATGGGGAGGACAATGACAGGGGATTGCCTTCTCATCTTCCTGGGTTGCTTGAATGCATGGAATGTAGGATAGCAGTGAAGACAGTGAACTGCACAGTGCACCCTAAGCCAAAGGAACACCTGAATTCTGGTTCAGGATTTGGGCTTTTTCTAGACTTAAATTAGAGGAAATCCTGAAACAGAATTTGGGATTTCCTTCAACTATGGCCCCATCTAAACTGTCATATAATCCAGTTTCTGAATCCAGTTTCTGACTATATGGCAGTGTAGACTCATATAATCAAGTTCAAGGCAAATAATCTGGATTAATACATTGGATTACATGGCAGTGTAGATCCAGCCTTAGGGCCAGTGAATGGTCCCTGCCCTCCTCCCCCCCCCACACACACACATGCGCACGCACATTCAGTTCTAGAGTGGTGAGGTACCATCCCACATTTTTGCAGGTATACATATAACCATATAACACTCATTTCCTTTAAATTGGATATAACTATAGGTGTATCTTCATTGTAGAATTAATGCAGTTTCTCACATTTTTTAACTCTCATGGAATCTTGGGTCTACAGTTTACTTATCTGAATATATCCATGTATCATCCTATGTATTTCAGCCAAAACAGGGGGGGGGGGGGGGGTGGAATCAGCTCTGTAACCTATATCAGTGTTATATAGGCAGTAGGCTTGTTTGATAAAAAAAATGGTTCAAAACTCATTTCTGATGTAGGGGGTGCTAGTGGTTCGATTTGGAAATCAATTCTAATTTTCATAGAAAAAAATATTCAAAACTTTTTGAAACTTCTGAGACTTCTGAAACAGCTTCGTTAATGGCAGACACACATGCACAGTGGGAAGAAAACAGCACTGGCACTCGGAAAACTTCAGGGGCTCTTCCACACCTAACCGAGGGGCTCTTACACTCCAGGCCTGCCTTGGCTGTCAGTGCGGAGGAGGAGGAGGAGGAGGAGGAAGAGGAGGAGGAGGCGATCCTCCTCCTCCTGTCACATAATTCAGATTATCAAAGTAGAGGTAAAGGTTTCCCCTTGACATTCAGTCTAGTCCTGTCTTACTCTGGGGAGTGATGCTCATCTCCATTTCTAAGCCAAAGAGATACGTCCATAGACACCTCCAAGGTCATGTCACCAGCATAACTGTATGAAGTGCCATTACCTTCCCACTGGTGCCTCAAACTGCAAAACCGGATTCAAACTGCAAAACCGGATTCAAACTGCGGACCTATTGCATTATGCATTATAGAGACTCATAGAAAGTAACTAAACTGCACGATAGAAGTCTACATCACTGAGTATATACATAATGCAGTTTCAAGATGCATTACATGGCAATGTATATGGGCCTGAGAGCAGATCAGGTATTCCTTCCAGGTGTTTTGGACTTCAACTCCCACCATTCCTAACATCCTCAGGCCCTTTCCTTTTCCCCCTCAGCCGCTTAAGGGGAAGAAGAGGAGGAAAAGAGTAGGAAGAAGGACATTCGCCCAGACTGCTTCTTTAACATGGCTTTCCAGGGGAAAGAAAGGGGGGACATTCGCCAAGGCTGCTTCTTTAAAGCAGCTTTCCAGGGGAAAGGAAAGGGGAACATTCACCCAGGCTGCTTCTTTAACACGGCTTTCCAGGGGAAAAGAAGGGGGGACATTCACTCAGGCTGCTTTTTTAACATGGCTTCCCAGGCTTGTGCCGAGGCCAGGGAAGAGAAGCAGAGAAACCTTGAATTGAATCATTTCTGACTCATTTCACTTACAGCTTCATAACAGAAATGGGGGGGAAAGCTTTGGAAGGGCAAAGGGACTTCCGGTTTCCTTAAAAACTTAAAATCGCTTCAAAAAGCAAATCTTTCTGAATTTATTCCAAATTATGAAGATTCTGACCGAACCTAACCATGCCTAATAGGCAGTTACAAAGCATTGTTCTATAATCTCAGTCTCTAGACCACAGATAGACTGCATGAAATTACTTGAAAAGCCTCCAAGTAGCTCTTCCAACCCTCTGTTCATTGTTTGGAAAAAAGAATTATGGACTGGTTGTTTAGCAGATCTTTGTTTAAACTGTCATTTTCAGCTGTTATCTCCCCTTTGTTTCCATCCTCCCCTTCCCCGTGCATCATCTTGCCAATGATTAGATAATTTTAGTCCAGCTCCTTTTTCATTCTCTCCAATTCGCGATCTCTGTCTACCTCAATTAGGGCTTGGCTCTTTGACTCACTTCCTTGCCATCAAATTTCTTTGTAACCAGTGACCCCTCTAAACACTAATTCCATCTAAACTCTAATAAGAAACAATCAAGAGGTTACACAGCCCATTAGACTCACTGAAAAATTGTAATTCATGTTTTATTCATGCTCTAGTTTTCACACGCCATTCATAGATCTAGGTTTACTGACTAAAGTAAATGTGCTTGTGCTTTTTTGTTAGTTACTATCAGCATCTCTGCTCACTCTGTTCAATTTTTCTGTTATTTTATGTCATTTCCTGTGTTTATTTTGCATTTTTTTTCTTTTTGTTATATTTTATTATATTTTTGTTGATGTATTATTGTATATTGTATTTTTTGCTTTGTTATAATTTTTAGCCACCCTGAGTCCCCTTGGGGAGATGATGGGATATTAATAAAGTGTTGTTTTTGTTGTTGTTGTTGTTGTTGTTGTTGTTGTTGTACCCTCTTGCAATGTGTTCAGCTGTTTCATATTAAGTACAACCTGGAATCAACCATGAAAATACAACCCAAATAAATAGTTCAAAGCAAAGAGATAATACCTATGCATGTCTGCCATTCTTGTGAAACATCTTAGCACATGTATGAAAGTAGAAGTATGAAAACCATGGATACTAATGTCTTATAGTATGTTATTCAGGGGTGGCTGGCCACATGACTTTGAATTTTCTTATTTTGTGTCTCAAAGATTTTTTTTCCTTTTTATGTAGAGCTACCACGAGGAATATCTGGATCTGGTAAAGGCATGCTAATTAATTATTATTTCCAAGGGTGATTTATCAGCAGGGCAGGAACTGTTATCAGCAGCTCTTTGTTCATTTTCAGAATAAGGAGATGAATCTGGATAGTATCAAAGACTTTGTTTAGTTCATAGCGGCACCTACAGTACTCACTTTGCACAGGTCACTGGCCAGCCGAAAATCTTGTTCTTGTGTCCCCCCCCCTCCCCGTGGGCCCTTCTACACATGCAGTAAAACCTGGAAATAACCAGGATAAAAGTGGGGTGGCTAAACAACATTTGGAGAAAGTGCAAGCGGAAATGGCTAACAGCTGAAAAGCACGTGTTTAAAAGGTGCACTTAAACCCGAGGGGCATCACATGACACGGCATGGAGGCAGCTGAGGCAAAGGGCCCCTTCTTCCTCCTGAGGAGCCGAGCTCGGCCGCGGTGGCAACGAGTGGAGCGGCCTTAAGCAGAGGCTGGAAGAGGGACGCCGAAGACAAGGCCTGCCCGCCGGCTGGCCATGGACTGAGGGGAGTGGTGCCATGGGCAACAAGGAGTCCCGCATCGGCTTCCTCAGTTACAACGAGGCCTTGCGAAGGGTGACGGACCTAGAATTGAAACGGCTGAAAGATGCTTTCAAGAGGACCTGCGGCCTCTCCTGCTACATGAGCCAGCAGTGCTTCATTCGTGATGTACTTGGAGATGGAGTTCCTCCAAAAGTGGCAGAGGTCATCTACTGCTCTTTTGGCGGCATGTCCAAAGGCCTACACTTCAATAACTTGATTGTGGGCTTAGTCCTCCTGACAAGGGGTCGAGATGAAGAGAAAGCAAAATACATTTTCAGCTTGTTCTCCAATGAATCTGGGGGCTATGTTGTCCACGAAGAGCTGGAGAGGATGCTCCTTATGGTTGACGAGAGGGTCCCAGAGTCTCTCAAGAAATGTTTCTCTGAGGGCGAAAAGGTAAACTGCAAGAAGTTCTGAAGCTGGCTGTTGTGCAACAAAGAGGCCTTCACGTTTTCCCGCTGGTTGCTGTCCGGCGGGGTGTATGTTACCCTCACGGATGACAGCGACACCCCCACCTTCTATCAAACGCTTGCTGGCATCACACACCTGGAAGAATCTGATATCATTGATCTTGAGAAACGGTATTGGCTCCTGAAAGCTCAATCGAGAACAGGGCGCTTTGACCTGGAAACTTTTGGACCCTTGGTTTCCCCACCAATCCACCCGTGCTTAAAACCCAATTCCACCCAAAAAATGTTCACCTTCACATGATTATATATCCCTGTAGGCATGCAAAACACATCACTTCCTTCCCATCCTCCTGTGTGAACTGGTCCAGCGCACATGTACATCTTAAAAGCCTCAAACAGCTGATTGGGCTCTCAAAAATGGAACCATGGGGAAGCACAGTTGGAAACCAGTTATAACTCTTTGCAACCCCTCCTTCATTTTTTATAATAACAGTTGGGTGTAGAGAGAGATAAGAAGTCTGCTTGTGTGTACATTTCGATCTCTGCATGTGTGCATATGAGGTCCATATGCCCTCTGCCTTGATCCACTTCAAAGGAAGGCATGAGAATGGTGAGGCACAATTTCCCTAGGACTGACAGGTCTGTGTGTGGACTTGCTGTCGGATCCTGGAATTTTTTGCCCCACTTTTAAAACTCACATTTTGATGCTGTCTGGAAGTGCCATGAGTTGTGCTGTTTTGAACTTCGGTTGTTCTTTCTTGCATTGAAAAGGGAAATCATTAAATGCTATAAACATCTTCTATAATGCTGGAAAGGACTTTGTGTACAATAGGTTTCCCATGCCTTGGCCAGTATGGCTTGAGAACTCTTCATAATCACCAAAATAATTTCTAAATTAGGAGAGTTGACTTGTGCAACCAATAAATCATCCTCAAGTGTGACCTTCATCTCCACTAAATTACTTGGAAAACCAAAGGTTGAGAACCACTACTGATGCTGCTGCCTTCAATCAGACAGAAAAGCAGGGCCTCTTCATGGTTTTGTTCTTAACTTCATCTCTCTCCTTACAGCCTCATGGCCCCACTCTAATCATAAAAGGGGGTGGGTGAGCCCTCTGGCATTATATAGAAAAAGATAGAAAACACAATGAGAAAGTGATATCATAATGTAAATATACATGATAAGATCTCAAATGTCACCCAGGAGGTCCATACTGTAGCAATGAGAATGCCTTACACTAAGCCATTTTAGGACCATCTTGGGAGGTTCACCTGCTGCACTGTGATGCCAGAACTTGACACTGGCACTACCACTGTTAAATTGATTGAGACCCAGAAACCAGAAATTACAAAACTGAATTAGCCATACATTTTTTTGTTTTCTTTTAACACAAGTGCATAAAATTTGAAAAAGTAGGCTTTTCTAGGCAGATGATCCCTTCTAATTGTGGACTGGTTGTTTTAAAAATAAATATGTACTTTCCAAGTGACCACATTCCCATAGTATTAGGGGATCATGCTAGATCCCCTAAGAGTATTTCCAGTCATCAGAATTCAGGCGTGACTGCAGAGAAGAGTGCATCAAAAGATCAGAAGCAGTAGACAAACTTAGAGAGCTGCACAAAAAACTAGTGCTATGGCCACTAGGTGGACAAGCAATGTTAAAACCTGGCAGAGTTGGACAGGCTGACAGGCAGGCAATAACTGCTGCTCTCTTCTAAATAATTGCTACTTCCTGTTAAATCTACCAAGAAGTATAATCCTGTAAAAAATAATTGAATATATAGAGTTCAGTGACTTCACACCATTCCTGCCTTCCCCAAGCACTATGATTAGAATAAGCATATAAAGAACATTTGCAAATGTTCTCATTGACAAAGTGAGTCTTGATGTAGCCACTGAAAAATTGTTTCCATCATGAGTTTCTTCTTTTAATACACTTCGCAAACCAGTATTTTTCTTTTCTTTGAATGATGCCATATGTCCAGATGCTTACATTTGGGTATAGAAAAGATTGTTTTTAGCACAAAAAGATGTATTGTGGAATGCCCTACTCAGATGTCATACATGATGACTTGACTCTGGCATTTAATAAATATGCAGTCAAGATTCTTGTATCAATTACTTAAGATGGCTCTACACTGAAAAGTAAAATGGATTAGAAACAGCACCCAAGACACTGATTCCAGCCTGCTTTCAGAGACTTGCTTAGCTACCTCGGTGGCATCAGGGAGTCCTCACTGCCTAGCCACTTAACATCGACCTTCCCCCCATGTCACTACTGGCTACCAATCTGCACACCAATCTGATAATGCGGGCTGTTCTTCCTACAATGGGATAATATGACCCATTCTCCATTGCAGTTAACATGATCCCATAGTAGGAAGAAAAATCCCACCAGTATCAGGTATATGGTTGTGTCACTGCTGTAGGCAGGGTAATATGGTGGAGGTCCATCTCATGTCCCCAGACCACCTGACCCCAGAGAGCAGAGGATGGCCTTTGAGACAACTGTAGCCAGTTCTGTATAGTTCCTCCCTAACTTGGAGGAGAAGCAAACCCCTGCTTCAGGAGTCAGGTTTTCCTCTTAGGGCACTTCTAGACAGTGTCAAAATTTGGATTAAATAAGTGGGTTTAAAAATCATGGGACCTGATAGCAAGTCTAGTCACAGACTTGTCAGTCCTGTGAAATGGTCCCCCATCATCCTGACACCTTCCTTTATAGTGGATTTTACAAGTCCATACAGTGAACAAGAGACTTCCAGTGGAAGTTTTTTTATTCTTTCCAAGATGTGCTGAATCTTATATGCACTCATATGAATATCTCAATGTACACACAAGAAGATTTCTTATCTCTCTCCTCACCAAACTATAAATTCCAGCTCTATTTAATACCATAAAGATCAGAACAAAGGAATGCAGAGAGTTCTAATTGTAAATTGCTTTCAATTGCTTCTGTTTAGCCATCTGAGTGTCTGTGGCGCCATTTTTTAACAGCCCTGATCAGCTGTTTCGGGCTTTTAAAACATGTGCATGTGCTGGAGCATTCCACACCAGGGTATAGGAGGGAAGTTACATGTTTTCCATGACTACAGGGATAGACAGTCATGCAAATATGCATATTTTGGACAGAACTGGGTTTTAAGTGCACCTTTTAAACACACACTTTTCAACTGTTAACTCGATTCAGCCTGCACTTTCATGAAATGTCATTTAGCCCCCCACCCTTTAAATCCCATTTTTCCAAGTTTTGGTGCATGTGTATAAGGGTCCTGAGTTAGTTGAACCTGAGGTGAAAGCTCTAATAAATGGCTTTCCCAAGGTTCAGACAAATTAGCTACATGCACTGTGTGGCTGCCCAGGGGTTGATGCTACTCCGCAGTGGCCTTGTCATAAAATTAACACTCTTCATTAAATTATTTTAATGGTATATATATAAGGTGTATATGAAGCATAAATGAATTCTGTGTTTAGAGTTGAGTCGCATTTTCAGGATATCTCATTATGTATGTATAATCAAATACATGTATTTCTAAAAAAATAAAATCTAAATCACTTCTGGTCTTATACATTTCAGAAAAGGGATACCCAACTTACAGTGTCTCCTAGACTGAACAGACTTTAATCTTCCCTGTCTAATCTTTACACTATTGTTGATATTATGAATTTGTGAGGACAAGTTAGGAATGCATAACTCTAAGTTGCATATTCATAACTGCTGTTGTGCATTCCAGCTGATGTTTTTTATTGTAGCCTTGAATGGTTTCTTGTAGCTGTTCTGTTTTTACATGGCTTTACTTGCTTTATATGGCTTAATGTGTTTTCAAACTGCTCAAATTATTTTATTGCTTTAAAATGTTACATTTATCGTTTAATTTGTATTGCACACTGATCTGAAATGTTTTGATGTGATATGATGTAAAAAAAAGGTACTGAACACAAAATACATTTTCTATGCAATGCATTGTTTTATAGGCAACACATGGTGTGTTTTGTGCAGAAAATTCTAAATGTGGAAAGTACAAAAATGCTTACCTAGTATGGAAATATTTTTCCAAATTTCTTTGCTCTCATATCTGAGAATGAAATAAACTTTGCTTCGCTAGATTAGAGAGTACTCAATACTTTCACTAGACCAGATGCTAGAAGTTTCAAGAAGCAAAATGCAGCTGCCCTCCTCCCCTTCCCAAATAACATAGGATATTTTCTGTACATGGTGACATTCGCTTAATATATTGCTGAGGTGTTCTTTGGTCAAGTCCAAATTTGTGTGAATAATTTTTAACCAGACCTAGCTTCGTAATATTCAACCGGGATTTATATGGTCCAGGATTTGTTTCTTGTTTACCATTCTGAATTAGTTTGCATTGCTATAATTTATCCTAGATTTATACATAGCAGATGAAACTGGAACTAAGGTGGCCATGTAATAATCACCATCATCATCATCATCATCATCATCATCATCTTTATTTATACCCCGCCACCATCTCCCCCAAAGAGGATTCGGAGGGGCTTACATGAGGCCAAGCCTGACGATAAATTACAGCAAAATAAAATACAGATCAACAAGAAATAACATCACAGTGGAATAAAAAAAACATTCAAGTAAAATAAGCAGTGCAAAACAACATAACAAAAAAGCAAACACAGGGGGCTATGTAGGGCTATGCCCTGAATAATTGTATCTCACATGTCTGTTCTTACTCTGTACTGTTAGACATCACCTACTTCCTAAAGAACTGACACTTTGTGTATCGATAGATTCCACTTTCTAGTTAGAGATAATAAATAATAAAAAATTATTTATATCCCCGAAGGGACTTGGGGCAGCTCACAAAAGCACTCATGTGTGTTGACACATGAAATACATAAGCATATAAAGCAATAACAATATAAATTTACACAACTCTTACATAAAACATATAAAACCTTATTGGTTTAAAATTGTATTTCATTTGATTTAAAAGATGTATTTCATTTGGTCTCAGTAGTTGCATTTAACTTCTTGTTAGGCGAAGATTGATCTTTATCCTTCTGCTGAAATCATAGGAGTTAAGTATGCATTGGTAAGATAGCCACATGCAGATTCAAAATATTATTCAGTATTGTTAATAACTGTGTTATTGGGTTCTATATATTGTGCTTTGTAATTTGGTACAAGAATAGTAACACTTATATTCACCCAAGAAAAAGTGCCAATGGTACTGTAACTCCAGTGATTTAGAAATGTCGCAGTTTAGAGAGAAAT